GCAGCCAAATTTGCATGTTAGCTGCCATGAGGGACATGAAAATTAAATGGATCCCTGTTTGCAATGAATTTATAATCTAGCAAAAGAGATCAAACTAGGATTCAGGAATCTCTGAACGAAAGAAACTGCAAATCTCTCAAGCTCAGGTTTCTCCGCTGGTAAATGAGGGGTTCAAGTGGATAATTAATAGTGGTTGGTATCCCTGCTTTATAGTTTATAAATATGCTCATGCTTTTTTATTAATTTTTCCCTACATCACCCTGTGAGATAGGAATTTCACACGCAAGGAAACAGACTAAGATGTTAAGCCACTAAACTGTAGTTCAAGAGTTGGTGAAGATACAGACTCTGGGCCGGCCCGGTGGTGCACTGGAGAGTGCGCCGCTGGAGGGTGTGGCAGCGCTCCCGCCGAGGGTTCGGATCCCATGTGGAGACTGGTTCCCGCTCACTGGCTGAGCGCGGTGCGGGCGCAACACCGAGGGTTGCGATCCCGTTACTGGTCAGTAAAAAAGACAAAAAGGAAAAAAAAAAAAAGATACAGACTCGAACTAGGTAGGACTCTGTCTCCAAGTCTCCTACCATGATGCAAAAGCCAGTTACCATCCTCCGAAAATGGATTCTAACACCAACGTTCTATGATTCTGAGTGTTACGTGGACAGTCTTTCCTGCAGTTATTCACTGCAAAGAGTGTAAATCAGGCAAAAGCAGCCGCTATTAAAAAAGAGGTAATTAATTCATGGTTGATTACAAGGAACTAATCTAGACATGTCTTTTCAAACTCAAAACTCACGTGATCAAACGAAGGTTCTAGAGCATCTTCTGCTTTCTCTGCGTGTGTACAGATTATGCTAACTCTTCACAAGAAAACAGAAGAAAGTCTTTCCTTGAAAGGTCCTGTCTTATCTTCTATGAAACCAATTTGCTAAGATATGTAATGAGAAATGCTCTTTGCTGTCTGTTCAACATTTTTGATGTAAACTTAGTGCCTCCAAAATTACTCTTTTTCCTACCTCTCTGGATAGATTCATTTTTATCTGTGATGCTTATAAAATCCTGCTCTTTCTGGAGGTACTTTGGGAGCATGAAGGATATACATAGCAAAAGAGAACCAACAATCTCCTACTGCAAACTTGGAAGATTACCACACAGTGGTGTGGGTAACAGGGGCTTGAGGGACAGGAGGACATTTCCGTCACCCACACGAAGGTCTCTCCAGGCTGGAAAGCCTGTCCTTATCTCTTTGATCCTCACCGAATCTAAGTTACAGAAGGGCAAGTGTCCTCTTCCTCTCCCTCATTTCTATGGGCTCAGGTTCTGACAAAGTCTAGATGCTTCTCTGCCCAGGGAACAGCTTTGACACTAATCCAGAGGCCATCTGCTCTATGGGGAGAGACGTGGGAGCCTGGGTGAGCAGGAAAAATGGGATCAGCTTTCAGAGCAGTCAACCATCTCTGACGAGTTGGCTAGACTGTGAACTGCAGAATATTTACTGCAGGGAGATGTCCACGACAGGAGACACTCAGTCTGGCCAGACCCAGAGCCCCCACCCCAGGGCATCAGGATGACACAGTCACAACACGAGGGACACTGACTCATAGCCAGGCACCAAATCTCTTTATCCCAGAGAGATTTCCTCTGGTCCCTTTAACTCTTACTCAGGAGAAATGCATACGTTGGTTTGCTCTGGAGTTGGAAAGAAGCAAAACAACTCACCCAGGACAATCGCAAGTTGGTGGCTTGCATGAATCATCTTTGCTGGTGCCTTTCAGCCCCATCCACCCACCCTCGTCCCTCAGGCTGGATTACAAGCCCCTCTGTGTGCTCTGAAAGCAGCCTGGCATCTCTCTCTCTTTGAGCTCACCTGTTGACTCTCAGTGGGCAGCTCACCTGTCTCTCCCCACTGCAAGGACCACGGGCCAGAATCTGGGTTTCCAGCCCAGGAAGTGACCCCACCCACCACCTAGCAAAGTGCCTGACACCCAGTAAGAACTTAATAAACACCTGCTCTTGTACATAAAATTCTCTTTCATACGAGGCTGGGGAAGAAGAGAAAGAACAGAATTATTGTGCAAATAAACCGAGTCTCCTGATGAGTCCTGATGCCTGTTACAAGGGCTTTGGGGTCGTGGGAGGTGAAATGTATCTGTGCAACATGGGAATGTTGCTGGTACAATCCGGGGATGTGTTGAAAATGTGAGTTTGGGTGGAAGGATGCTCTCCTGAGCATTTATTTAGAGTAGCAAAAACTTTAACTCTAATAACCGATGCTTGCTTGTATAAATTAGGACGTATTCACAGAGTGGATAATATCCATATAATAGAATATTATGCTACCATTAAAGATCATATCTTTAAAAAACACATAAAAGCATGGGAAAACGCCCTAATATATTAAGTTAAAAAAAGGTCACAAAATTGAATCTAGTCACAGTTTTACAAATTGTATGCGTATAAAATACTGGGAGGGCATATACCCAAATGTTATATACTTTATTTCTGGGTGACATTGACTTTAAAAGTTCGATTTAAACTTTTTCATATATTTTTATTTTGCAACAAACATGGATTACTTTTTATAATTTTCAAAATGGTGTATTTTAAAAATTGCAAATAAAATTAAAAAGCATATCATTCCACAGTGAAAAGAAGCCCCATTCAGTTCGTGCCCTACATGGTTATTGACAAGATGAGACTATGAAGTCCCTCCCAGGATGCTACTAATTCCTCATGTTTATACTCACAATCCAGAACATTCCATCCAAAACATTCCACAATGTTTATACTCACAATCCAGAACATTCCAACCAAGTGGTAGCTAGGCCCCTGCAGGGCAAAATAGGGGTCCTATTCTTTGGCATGCCAGGTCTAAAAAGGAGCAATACCTGGAAAAGATATTGACAGGCTATTGCTCTGGGATAAGCTGGGAAACCTGCGGTAGGGAAACCCGTTCCCCCGGGGCAAGGGGAGCTGGTGTCGGTTCTGTCATTGACTGTGTGGCCACAGGTCATCCAATTCCTCTAAGTATCATATTCCCCATCTGTAAAAGGAAGACCTGACATCTGCCCTTCCTGTCTCACAGGCCCACTATGGCATTAAATAAAATGATATGTGCACTGTATTTTGGAAACTACAAAGCACCCAGTAAATGAAATGTTTGATGACCCAAGAACATTAACTTCTTAGGATAATGATCAATTTTTCCCACAAGATACCAAGAGGCACAATCTATATTCCCTCTTCAATACTCTAGAAAAGTCACCAGGAATTTTATCAGCCATATTTAAATCATTTTATGTCTCCCTGGACCTGTGCCCCACATAACAAGCTCTGCCATGTGTTCATTCGACCTGTTTGTTTTTCTCCTGGGCACACGGGCTTCCTGTATGGGAAGGTGGGGCCAGGAGGCTGGATTCTGGCCACTGGAATATGGATGGAGGCGATATATGCCCCTTCCAGGCCAGGCTGGGCCCCCAAATCCCCCTGTGGGATCCTGCAAGCTTTCTCGCTTCCTTCATCTCCTGGCTGGTTACAGAAGATCTGGAAGAAGACTCTGAGGCCCCTGGAAGACGGTGACACCTTCGACAGAAGAAGCCTGAGTCGTCCCTACATCACAGTGGAAGGCCACCCACTAAACACCCACTATGACAAGGACACAGGTGAGAAAGAACCTGAGATTTCTAAGATCATCTGTTACACCAGTTTTCCTCCCAACTAACACCCCATGATCATGGCCACCACTCCACTCCAGTCATGGTCAACACCCTCTGCTGATCATGAGGGGACCTAGAAAATGCATACATTAAACCCAACCCTCATCCAGCAGAAAGCTCACCCTGGAAAAATTAAGACAACCTTTCAGATTCTTTAGACCTGCTCTCCTATTTCCATAGGGAAACTTGGTGGTAGGTGCTAATTTAAATAACCAAAAAGAGAAAATGAGAAAAGGGAAAAAGCACCTTTGGAAACCCAGTCTCCAAAGTATTTAAAATTAGTTGCAAATAGAAATCGGTAAAGGTCCATCAGGTACGAGAGGTTAGGAAGAGTCTGTACCTCTTTTAGCAGGTGCAGACAGTAGAAGCAGACGGCCAACACGGTTCGTTGTTCCCTAATACATTTTATTCAAGCGATGTCCAGCCCTAACCACAAGTTGCTTTAAAATCATGATTTGGGCCAGCCCGGTGGCGCACTGTTACAGTGCGCTGTTTGGGAAGCGTGGCGACGCTCCCGCCGAGGGTTCGGATCCCACATACAGACCGGCCGCTCACTGGCTGAGCGAGGTGCGGGAGCAACACCGAGGGTTGCGATCCCGTTGCCGGTCCTGGTCCGGTACGGGGGCGACACTGAGGGTTGCGATCCGTTGCCGGACACGAAAAAAGACAAAAAGGAAAAAAAAAATCATGATTTGAGGGGCCCACAATATTCTCTGGTCCAAAAATCTCTCACCCATTCATCTTAATTTCTAGAATCTCTGCTAACAAGCACAAACACAATCCCTTAAGTTTATGACACATATTGGGCTACGTGTCTTGCATACATGACTTATTTAATCCTCACTATTGTTATATCCATTCCTCAGTGGGGGATGTGACTTGAGAGAGGGAAAACCCATTGTGCAAGTTCATGTCCCTTGTGTAAGGGGACATTGCTAGTAAGCGGACCAGTCAGGGCTTGGGCCCCAGTCCAAGTTCTCCAAGGCCTACGTACTTAATCTGTGCAGAAAACCTGACAGCTGGGAAGCCCTTGGCATTGCCTGGACCAACAGGGTCTCTCAGGAAGGAGATATTGAATGAGCAGAGAGAGGACTGGAGTGGAAGGTTTGCTGGACACAGTGTGCATGCTCTCAAAGCAGGCAGGCCTGGTTGGAGCTCTGTGATGAGACCCGCAGGGGCCACATGGAAACACCAGGCTCTGAGTTTCCAGTTGAGAAAGGAAGTACTGCCCACTTCTCTGCTTTGACACTGGCCAACCCTACTCTTTCATGCTCATAGAGGCTACTTACCTGGTAGGGGTACAGGGTGACCCCATTGGTTCTCGACAGGGACCAGGTGCCATCCAGGAACTGGTGAGCCTGGATGGCCGCCGAGTTGAGGATGTTTCCATTGCTGGGGCTGGTGGCCATCTGGAGGCTGACCTTGGCCTGGTGGGTTGGGGACCCAATCTTCTTTTCTGCCCCATTGCTGACCCCAAGGCTGTTGGGTTTGCTGCTGTGCTTGTTGGTGAAGCCTGTGTAGTTGGAGGTGGCGTAGGAGGCAGGCACAAAGGCCCAGTCCCTGGGCTGCTGGAGCCCCGCCACGTGCCGGGCCCCCACCAGGGTGGGGATGTTGGAGAGCGGTGGGGGGGAGCCGGGCGACAAATCGTAGCGCTCGCTGCCAGCCACCTGCTCCAAGGTCAGCACCATCTGGATGGCTTCCTGCTTCAGCTGGTTCAGATGTGTGGCACAAATGTCACAGCGGTTGTCCCGGTCATTCCATGCCTTCTGGATGGTGTTGGGGACCTGGAGTTTGTCGTGAATCACAGCAGAGAAAGCAGGGTCCTGGAGAACATACAAGCAGAAAAAAATAGCCTGTAACTCAAAGCCGACAAGTGGATTTAACGAGGCTGATGTCTCTCGTTTACTTTGCTTTAATTATTACAGGAAAGCCGAATAACACAGAGAAACACAGAGAACACTGGGAGGGTTCATTGGGCATCAAAATATTTCCTGGTTCTGCTACTTGTGACCTTGGAGTTCCTGGTTTTGCTACATGTGACCTTGGAGATCTGTGTGACCTTGGGCAATTAATCTCACTGAACCTCTCATCTGTCACACAAGGCCATGCCTGTCCTTGATGTGAGGTCCTTCCAGCTCCATGACTCTGTGTGTAGGGAAACTGGGACAGGGGACTAGAGCATCTGCATAGAGGGACAGAGCCACTGTGCCAGTCTTGGGGCCTGGTTGAACTTTTGAAGTTCAACAGTTGTTTCAAATAATTGATGAGGCTCAGCTCAAGGCTTCTTTTCTGCTAGGTCATTAGGAGAAACTCTGCACTTTTGAGATGTGCCATCAGCTTTTACGTGGCCGAGTGGGGTTTGATGTGCTATAGGAGAGGAGGGCAGCGTGGGCCACAGGGTGGGCAGGAAGATCACTGCGGAAAGGGTCGTTCTTAATTACGATCCATCCTGATTATGGGCGCCAGCACTGTTTTCCCTGTGTAACTACCCTGAACAGCTCCTCAGCACACACTGATTAATTGATTAATAAATCAAGAGGCCTCTTTACACAGCAGCAGCAAGGACTGGCTCAGGAGCTAGACACTCAAGACAGTCAGAGAAAATGAGGGGAAACAAATACGGGGGTCAAGGTCGATCAAGTCTCAGGTGACGGAGTGATAGAAACCATATGAGACCTGTCCGTGGCGTCCTTCCCAACCACAGCTGCTCTGTCCAGAGAGTCTCCAATCACAGCTCAGAGTGTGGGACCTGAAAGGCCCCTGAGGGACCCTTCTAGACCAGACTGTCACCTGAGTTTACAGATAAAGAAACAGCTCCAAAAGGCTTCAGAGTGTGGACCACAGACACCCTGGCTTCTTGACCACTAGCCCGTGATTTTTCACTTCAAGAGCCAGAGCCAGATCCTCCAATAGACTCACAGTTTTTGTGCAGACATATAAAGTTTTTACTTCATTCACTTAGAAAATGTTCATTTATTCAACAGGAATTTATCTGGGCCCCCGTATGTGCCAAGATATACTTTCATGCTTGTTCACATAACATTACATGATGAGAACGTTTCTTTATCAATAAACGTCATTTGAAAATGTGTGTTTTTGTTTGTTTTGGTGGCTGGCGGGTGCAGGGATCTGAACCCTTGACCTTGGTGTTACAACACTGAGCTCTAACCAACTGGGCTAACCAACCAGCCCCTGAAAATGTGTTTTTTAGTGACCCCGTGGCATTTCATCCTTTAGTTGTTCCATAATTCATTTATTTATTCACACCTTGTACTGCATAATTGAAGAAAATTATGGGAAATTAGAAGACATTCAATTGCGATCTACGACCAATGGCTTATGGTTTCAAGTGACCAATCCATTTGGTTTCAAGAGACCTCAGATTAATTGCTTATTTAAAGTTCTTTGCCCCGGTGAAGAGGCAGCAACAGGAGAAGTCGCATCTGTCATCACGGTTTACTTTAGGTGGGAGCCCTTAAACTTGGACTTGACACAGAGACGCATCCACTCTGCAGAAACTGCACACGCCATCCCTGGTCCTGAGGATTCCTTTTCTCTTTTCTTCCTGGTTTTTACTGCTCCACCTTGAAAGTGGTACCTTCTTTATCCAGCCTACTGTGATTTCTTGCTCAGCTTCCAAAGCATAACAAATGGGTATGCTGTCTTCCAACCTGCCAGGCATAGCACCAGGCTGGGGATCTAAGGACACAAGAGAACGATTCCTGTCCTCTGGGAGTTCACAGTCGGGGACATTCTTGGTTCCTGGACAACCAAATGCCACATCCCTCTGCGGTCACCTCTATTCCATTCTGTAGTGACTCACAGGACCAATCAACACACACTCAGACACACAAGGCTCAGCACTCCAACCCTTTCATGAGATGTCAGCAGAAACTCCAGCTCTCCATCAGTCTCCCCCATTCACACCCGTGCCAACCGAAGTGGCCCTGCAAGACCCAACAAAACCACCCCTGAGTGCCACGGCCAAGGCCACTACCAATATGAACGCCACAGACAGCCAAGAAGTAGCCAACAGCCCACCATGGTCCCATCCAGAGAAGGCTGAGATGGATTCTTTAAAGACGATACAATTGTGGGCTGATGTCAAAGAGGTGTTCCTTAAATTAAGCCACCTTTGACATGACATCCCATGTTAGTTCATCACCAAAAGGCCTCATTAAGTCGAGATACACCTTAAGGAAACTAAAGTCCCTTGTAAGTGCTTGTCTACACATTATAAATATTTTAGTGCAACAGAAAACTTCAAAGAGGAGTGGCCAATGCAGAGAGCTTTCAGCAAGTGCTGAAATAAAGAGGATACTGCGTCAAGAGACAGTAGTAATAAAAAGAGAAAAGGAGTTGTTGGAGCCCTGGACGACGCACTATACCAAGCTCCTGACGTGCGCACAGAAAGTACTACAGTGGCCCCAAGAGATGGACCAGAGAAGCACCCTCTGGATAAGCTGGCACCAAAAGAAACCTGCACCCGGACAGGGAATGAAGTATGCATCCAGTCTGCCACGCTCCCTAGCTTGGGGCTTCGAACACATTTGCACTGTCTAGTTCTGATCCACCCCGTGACACGTGGACATAGCCCAATGGGAACAGCAATGAACCGACCCACAAGCTGAACCTCTATTTTTAATAAAGCCCCAGTTTTTATATCACCATATTTGAAAATGGACTGTTGGCACTTGGGCAACATTTTCATCCTAAATGTTAAACTTAGGGGTTCTGTGAGCCAAACACTCTCATCTTCCAGGAAAATACACAAGATCGTTTTTACCCCACCTCTCCCATGGAGAGCCATCCGAGGAGACACTTACGAAACTGGTAACGTTCCCCAGAAGGAAGGTTAGGGATAAATGAAGCTGATGTTCAGATACCCAGACTGCCTGGGCAGTGACCTCTATAAAAGAATAAAGACAACTCCATGAAATGGCTTTCTGATCCTTTTACTGCTCTTCGGCTTCTAGGGGGAGTTCAGGAAAACAGGGTGTCCTGCCACATCCCCAAGGGTCTCTCATAGTCTAGTGACTGCCTTAGATTGACTCATACACCTTCCTCTCCCCACATTCATTCCCCAGGCAATCGTGTCCGAGCTTCAATGGCCATCTGTATCCTGGTGACCTGGAATTCTCTATCTGTAGCTCTTTCTGACTTTCTCCTAAACTCCAAGCCTTATATTTAAAGGCCCCCTGGATAACATCACCCAGATATAAACCCTTCAACCTGACAATTCAAAATTAATTTTCCTTGCCCCTAAACCTAGTCTTATTCCAGTAGTCACTAGCTAAGTAAATAGCATCATAGCCACCCAGGGGCCCAGGCTAGAAATCTAGAATCTTCCTTGTCTTTTCTTTCTTCTTTACATCCACCCACCAAATTTGGTAGATGGTGCTTCTTAAAAGCTCTTGTTTCTTTTTTTTTTTTTTTTCCTTTTTTGTCTTTTTTACTGACCGGCAACGGGATCGCAACCCTCGGTGTTGCGCCCGCACCGCGCTCAACCAGTGAGCGGGAACCGGTCTCCACATGGGATCCGAACCCTCGGTGGGAGCGCCGCTGCGCTCCCAAGCGGCGCACTCTCCAGTGCGCCACCGGGCCGGCCCAAAAGCTCTTGTTTCTGAGTTCTCAAGAGAGTCCCTCCTCTCCACGCCCGCTGACATGTTAATGCTGTCAGCATCTCTCACATTGCCAGTCTCCCCAACTCTAGCCTGGACCTCATCCCCCACGACAAAGCGATTTTACTAAATGCAAATCTGATCACGTCATTCCCCTGCGTCCCTACACCTCCATCCTAATGGTGATCTTACTGTCGATAGTTTTTATTTATAGAACTATTTCCCCATTATACTCCCAGATCCTTCAGGGAAAATATTCTTTCTTCCCATCTTTAATTCCCTAGTGCCTACTACATAGTAAGGGCTCAGCAAATATTTGCAAAATGAATGAACCGAGGTTAAAAGACTCGAGTAACAAAGTTGGTCTAGGTCCCTCATTCATTTATTTTGTCTAAATGTGTTAGTTACCTACTACACAATTGTCATGAAACAAACTGTATTAGTCCATTTCTGTTGCTTATAACAGAAATACCTGGAACTGGGTGATTTATAAGAAAATGAAATTTACTGCTTAGGGTTTCTGAGGCTGGGAAGTCCAAAGTCCAGGGAATACATCTGGTGAGGGTCTTGGTGGTGGTGACAGTGACCCAGGGGTCTCACATGGCAGAAAATGGAGGAGCAGAAAGAGACTCGCCTCTCATGTGCTCCTCTTTTAAAGCCCTCAAAACCATGCCCCGAACACCATTATTAACCCATTCACTACCACATGGTCCTACAGTCTAATCAGCTCTTCAAGACCCCACCTTTCAATTACCATAATAGGATTTCCCACTCTCAACAGTTACAGTGAGAATCAAGCTTCTCTAATATATGAACTTTGGGAACACAATTCAATCAATCCACAGCACAAACTCTTCCAAAGCTAAGGCTAATATAGTTTTCAAACCATACTTGATCTACCTGGCTAAAGAGCCTCATGTGGATTAACCCTAGTCTGGAATCCTCCTTTGACTGATTCTCCCTGAAACTATTAGAACAGATTCTCTGGCCTCGGTACAAAATCTATTAATCTGTTTCTAAATTCCCAAGAAAGTAACATTGACATAGAAAGGATTTAAAAAGAAATTGTTTGAACCATCAGCCCAGCTCATCAGCAAGAAAACAAGACTCCAGACCCGTACTACACACTGGGGTCTGCAAGGTTTGGCCCCCAGCAAGCAGGTGGCATGGTTATTTTTCAAGCTCTCGAGGCATGAGG